ATGAATAGTGCTTGTATGTATCACTGTTTTCTCACTGTTTTCATTATGTACAATTATTTCTCTCTCATTTAGTCTGGAGATGTGCTGATACAGGGCATTTAATGTGGCTTTTCCATTCTAACAACCAACATACACCTTCACCTCTGATTTGAAAGATGGCAGCTGCAATCTGTTATGGCTCAGAAGAGACACAGGGAAGTACAACTCCAAGGGCATAATTTGGATGTTGCATACATGACTTCTTTTCACATTCCATTATGCAGAATGTAGACACATGGTCTTGTCTAGCTGCAGCAGAGGCTGAGACAAACAGGCTTTATTCTTGGTGGCCATGTGTCTAGGTTTCCCTGGACTTATGCATCTTGCATCTGAAAGAACGATGGTCTAGGGGCAGTAATTAGCCATCTTTGCCAGAGAAATTCCTGGAAATAACTAAACTATGACAAACTATATTAAAATTAATTCCCTATATATTCCAATATAATGATAGGCTTAAACTTATTTCAGGTAAGACTATTTTTCTCCAATACTAAATAAACTGTGTTATTATACTCATTTTGAGTTCATCAATCTATTTTTTAAGACATTCTTTCTCCTTTCTTGTCAGGGTATAAGCTGTCAGTGCTTATTATTGTAACTAACTGTGTTTACTTTCCTCTCTAATTTTCCTTATTGTCATTAAGTTTCTAAAAAGAAGTATTTTATCTTAGAATAACATACTTTTATTTAAGTATAACACACATGCAGAAAAGTTCACGTCATAATAATAGAATAAACCTAAACAAAGATGTAAAGGATCTAGACCCTAAAAACTACAGAACACTTCTGAAATAAATTGAGGAGCACACAGAAAGACGGAAAAACATTCTATTCTCATAGATTGGAAGAATAAATATTGTGAAAATGTCTATGCTACATGGCAATTTACATGTTCAATGCGATCCGTATCAACATACCATGGAACAAATAATCTTAAGGTTTGTATGGGATGTACTAATAACAAAAATAGAAACATAGATCAATGGAACAGAATAGAGAAGCCAGAAATGGGCACTCAACTCTATGGTCAACTAATATTTGAAAAAGCAGGAAAGAATATCCTCTGGAAAAAGGACAATCTATTCAACAAATGGTGTTGGGAAAATTGGACAGCCACGTGCAGAAGAATGAAACTAGACCATTCTCTTACACCATACACAAAGATAAACTCAAAATGATTGAAAGATCTAAATGTGAAACAAGTATCCATCAAAATCCTAGAGGTGAATACAGGCAACAACCTTTTTGAACTCGGCCACAGTAACTTCTTGCCAGATACATCTATAAAGGCAAAGGAAAACAAAGCAAAAATGAACTATTGGGACCTCATCAGGATAAAAAGCTTCTGCACAGGAAAATAAACAGTCAAAAAAAACTAAAAAATAACCTACAGAATGGGAGAAGATAATTGCAAATGACATATCAGAAAAAGAGCTAGTATCTAAGATCTATAAAGAACTTATTAAACTCAATAGCAAAGAAACAAAAAATCCAATCATGAAATGAACAGAAGACATGAACAGCAATTTCACCAAAGAAGACATACACATGGCCAACAAACACATGAACAAATGCTCCACATCACTTGCCATCAGGAAAATACAAATCAAAACCACAATGAGATACCACCTCACACCAGTGAGAATGACAAAAATTAACAAGACAGGAAACAACAAATGTTGGAGAGGATGTAGAGAAGGGGGAACCCCCTTGCACTGTTGGTGGGAATGTGAACTGGTACAGCCACTCTGGAAAATTGTGTGGAGGTTCTTCAAAAAATTAAAAATAGAGCTACCCTATGACCCAGCAATTTCAGTGCTGGGGATTTACTCCAAAGATACAGATGTAGTGAAACTCTGGGACACCTGCACCCCAATGTTCATAGTAGCAATGTCCACAATAGCCAAATTGTGGAAGGAGCCATGATGTCCCTTAACAGATGAATGAATAAAGAAGATGTGGTCTATATGTACAATGGAATATTACTCAGCCATTAGAAAGGACGAATACTCACCATTGGCTTCGATGTGGATGGAACTGGAGGGTATTATGCTGAGTGAAGTAAGTCAATCGGAGAAGGACAATCATCATATAGTTTCATACAGAGAATATAAGAAATAGTGTAGTGAAAGGGATTATAAGGGAAAGGAGGGGAACTGAGTAGGAAAAATTAGAGAAGGAGACAAACCATGAGGTTCTTCTAACTCTGGGAAATGAACAAAGGGTTGGGGAAAGGGAGGTAGGCGAGGGGTTGGAGTAACCGGGTGACGAGCCCTGAGGAGGGCACTCGATGGGATGAGCCCTGGGTGTTATACTATACGTTGGCAAATCGAACTTCAATAAAAACAAATAAAAATAATAATATTCCTTTATTTCTGAAGACTGCAGAGCCACACAATGAAAGCCAATCTGTTAAAAAAACAAATGAAACTAGATCATAGATAACATCCAAGAATTAAACATTTAAAATCTTACCACTAAGCTATCTATATATATTAAGATCACATTTATGAAATTTTAAATTAGTTGGACTATGGGCAAGTACTAATTACAGTCCAATAGTTCTGACTTATCTGTGCTGGGATCAAAGTATTTTTTCCCATATGAACATGTCTCCAATCCATAATAGTAACAAAGAAAAAAATATGTTTGAAATAAATTATCTTTATGTGTCCTCCATATAAGTTCTTTGTTCTCTTTATTGATGTTTATACCTGTATTGCATTATTTACATTTATCACATTATAAATTTGTAATTTTGTCACATCTCTGATTTTTACTTTACTTATATATACATGTATCTGTATGTGTATATATGTGTATGTGTATATACATGTAACTACTATATATAAATATATGTGTATATATATGACAGTACTAATAATATAATTACAAATTGTATGAACTGATATATAGGTGAAAAAGTCTATCCTTCAGAATCCTTTAGAATAAAAGGCCAATTATTTGACCCTCTTATAATCAGACTGAGTAGAAGATGAATTGAAGGAACACTGAAAACCGTCAAGAGTTTCTGTCCATTTTTTGTTATCAAAATAATAGCATCAAAAAATCAAGAACTTTTTTATAAAGGAAAATTATATCGAGTATTCAGGAGTAATAATTTTTCTCTTCCCTTGCTTGCTTTCAGATAATTTAAATTGTAACATCACCATATTTCTGTAGGACTTTTTTCTAAAAAAAAAGGCATGAAAACTATTTACATGCCTCTTCTTATAGGTGAAAAAAAGTTTTTATAATGACCATACAAAGAATTCCAAGATATTAATCCTAAGGACAGAATGAGTAAGACACATTTCTTACTTCACACAAGTAAGAAATATTATTTCAGGAAGTCAGGATATTCTAAGATTAAAGTTACTAGGGCTGAATGCTTCGGGCTCAAATAACCACTAAGAAATTGCCATTTCCCACTAAAATTGAAACAAACACCATTACTATCAATAATTCTGTCCTTAAATTTCAAGAAATTGTAAGTGGGAATTTTTTAAATAAATGTGTTTAGCTCTAAAATCCAGTGCTTTGGTAATGCCTGGGTGTCTCAGTCAGTTAAGCATCTGACTCTTGGTTTTGGCTTAGGTTATGATCTAAGGGTCCTCAGATGGAGCCCCACATGGGACCTTGCACTCATCAGGGAATCTGCCTGAGATTCTCTCTCTCCCTCTCCCTCTGCCCGTCCCCACCCTCTGTCTCTCAAATAAATAAATAAAACTTTTAAAAAATATAAGTACAGTACTTTGCTAAAGAAAGAGCTTTCAAGGTGCAATTCAAAACCTCCCTCCTCAGGCTAGCTAGTTTGGAAGGATAGACATAAAATAGTTACAAGGTTTGTTCCATGCCAACGAATTATACCAGAAGATGAAAAGTGAGCTAGATTCTTCTTGTATCTGAGCCAGTAATCTCTAGTAGAAAATATCTGAGAAGCCTATTTATACTCCAGGTCTATAACTTGCTATTCAGAAAGTTTACACAGTGATAAGCCAAATAGCGTGCTGACTCATTGGATTCAGAAACCTATTAGTGACTAAGAGAATCACTGTGCTAATCAGAAACATCCTGCATTTCTGTCCCTTTCTTTCAGATCTAGCCTCTGGATATTATTTCCTTGTAATCAAATACTTGATAATTCTTCTGTATTTTTAGAGGAAAAGAAAGGGTTAGGTATGACTGAGTCACTTTTCCTGTAGTTCCCCCCCCCCCAGAGGAGCTTATTATTATCTGTACCTAGAATATTATTTTGTCTTCTTATCTTTTATTTTGCAGAGGGAAAAAACCCATCTCATTTCTGGGCTAGAAGTAGTTCATACTTGGTATTATCCAAGTGAGCGCTATTTAGATTTTGGTTTTCTGTGTAGAAATTATATTTAAACAAAGTGACTTCCATTCCCTGCTTAAGCATATAGAAGTGAGGGAGACCACCATATCTATCACCTCATTCATCACCAAGGTAAAGTCAGCTAAACTGGCAGGCTAAGCAGCATCTGCTTCCATCCACATACCATCTCATACATCCCTCATGATGCAGCCTGATCCTGTACCCCCCTCACTAGCTATTTCACCATAATGGCAGCTGTTAAGTGTAGAAAATAGATAATTTAAGGAATTGTACAGGCTGGTTAAATTACCTTGCAACCTCAGTTTTTAAAAATCTTTCAGATGGATATTTCTTCTCAGTTTTGATTTATTATGTCTTGAAATACAGGTTTCCTTTTTAAATTATTCACTGAAAAGTTAGACTTAATATTCAAATAATACTTATCAAGTGGTTTTTAAACCCCTTTGTTAAATTCACCATTATATAAATATCCTTAAACCTTAGATTTCTCCTTAAAATGAAAAGCAATTATCTTGCTCTTAGTCCATTCTAGGATTTGTTTTAATGTGAAAAATTGATACTTGGAATATTGGATTCCCAATCTCTCTTCTTTTTATGGGGTTTGCAGGGACCAAGAAAAATAAGACATTAGAGCTACAAAAACAAAAAGGCAGTCAACTCAACTTTTAAAGGTAAGCAACAGAATTGCAAATTTACCTTCTCTGCTGAAAAATAAGAGGACTAAAATAATTTGCAGATCTATCTTTCAGAGCCATTAGACCATAGATTGTTTTTATATGTTCTGTAGTCCTTAATTTTCTGTTAAATATTTATGTTGCTTCTGGATCCACCAGTTTCTGTCTTCCCTTGCTGTATGATATAAAGTTTCTAAGAATGGGAAATAAGGAAATACCACATCTTTACTTTGTGCCCTATATCTTCATGCTATCCTTGTTGGTGGATAAGTAAGAGCAATTAGAAACCAGAGTCACTTCAAATACTCAAAAACATTCTGCAACTATATACATTTTAGTTCCTATGAACAACACATTCTTAATAATATAATAGAAATTATTCTGGTCAAAAAGACTACAGATGCAGGCAGCCCTGGTGGCTCAGTGGTTTAGCATCGCCTTCCGCCTGGGGCCTGATCCTGGAGACGCGGGATCAAGTCCCACGTGGGGCTCCCTGCATAGAGCCTGCTTCTCCCTCTGCCTGTGTCTCTGACTCTCTCTGTGTGTCTCTTGTGAATGAATGAATGAATGAATGAATGAATGAATAAATAAATAAATAAATAAATAAATAAATGGGAGGATTAGGAACTCTGACATCTGCTATTCAGTTGATAAATGACCCTGTTATCATTTAACCAGTCACTTCCTACATTGCCTCCTCTTTTTCGTGGTAGTAACACATAAGTAAATGGGGAAGATCTCAATGGCTTTGTTTTGCTAGTAGTTGTGTTTAAATTGTTCCCCAGAGAGCTGATGAAAAGGTCTTTTTTTTTTTTTTTTTTTTGGTCAAGTATCTTCTCTACTTTGCATCCTTTGTTGTCCTGGTCTATAACTGATTTATTTATCTTTTTTACTGAGTAGGCTTTAGGTTTGTTCCTTGGTTTAAGAATGAAACTATAGCCACCCTTCCACTAATTTCTTAATATTCTAGACTCCACTGGCAGAAATGACTTAATTTTACCCCTCCACACAACCTACTGGCCTTTCATAGTACCCCCTACTACCCACATTCGTGTACCAACCTTTCAGTTTTTCTTAGATTGCTGAGCTGTCTCAGTGTCCTTCAGTGTGTGTTTCCCTAGATTTTCCCTAATCTTCATCTTCTGTTTTTGTGAATGTCACCTACTCTTTTACAAATCCACTCAATTTTTGTAGTGTCATTGCCCTTGAGCTCCCAACTTCCTAAAAATATGATGGCCACAACCTGCCTTTTCTTTTGAGAAGCTTTCTTTTCAAACACTTCTTATAGGACATTGGGAATGTAAAGAGATTTTTTTCCAACCACCTCATTTTAGAGCAAAAGAAACTGAAGTCTATAGAGACAAGTTATACCAAAATTCACATTGTAATCATCCACAGAGCCAAAACTAAAGTCTTTGAATTGCAAAGAATTGGAGAATCTGGCCTTAGTCCCCACTGATATAATTCTTGTTCTCAGGGGTCTACCTTCACTGGGACCCATTTCCTCCAGTTGATATAACCCTGAGCAGAATGTAGATGAAATGCAAAGGAGGGGATCTGAAATCCACCACAGACATTGGCAGCTAGCACTTCTACAATTTGATTAACTTTCATTTCTATAGCCAGGAAGGAATTATACTGAATATGAGTTGGAAAGGGGGCATGTTATTATATATAATATATATATATATATATATATATATATATATATATATACAAGGATTTTTTGATGTTGTTGGGTTTGGTTGGAAAAAATATATCTTGAATCCTCTGTTTGGATATTGGATGACATAATTTTGGCAAAGGTTTTTAGTTTTGTTGGTCTTCTTCAAATATTATTTTGCGGGATCCCTGGGTGGCACAGCGGTTTGGCACCTGCCTTTGGCCCAGGGCACGATCCTGGAGACCCGGGATCGAATCCCATGTCGGGTTCCTGGTGCGTGGAGCCTGCTTCTCCCTCTGCCTGTGTCTCTGCCCCTCTCTCTCTCTCTCTCTGTGTGACTATCATAAATAAATAAATAAATATATTATTTTGCTTAACTAGCATGTTCACAAATTTGTCCATTGATTCCCCTCTGTAGGAGATTCCTTGGTAGGTTTGTTTATTTGTTTTACCCACCCTTTTTTGAAAAGTTCCAGGTGGCTTAAGATGCCTTACTTTTGTCTTCTTAGAGCCCCCACCCCCATCTGGTGGTACATTTAGGATTGACCATCAATGTGGCCTCAGAAGAATATTTATGAAACCTTTATTGGGAACAAAATTTTACTTTATCTGTCAGTGAATAACTTTTATATGGTAGTCAGCTCTGTGTCTAGCATGTCTACTCATGGAAAATTGTTCAAAAACCAAGTCATCTTTCAGTTCTCATTGATATTCATGACCTTTCCTTGGTGATTTACAATGCTTTACACTCATATAGTATTTCATGGTCTTCACATTATCTTGTTTGAACCTATTAAGTAGGTAAGGCTGATATTCTCTCCCTTTTATAGTTGAAAACACTTTAGCTTAGAGAGACTCAGTGATTTGCCTAAAGTCACCTAGATAGCAAGTGAGCAAGTGGCAGAGTTAAGACTAGAATCCTAGCAAGCCAGCATTAAGATTGTCTTTGTCTTTTGGTGCCTAGGTGACTCAGTCAGTAAAGCATCTAACTCATGATTTTAGGTCAGGTCATGATCTCAGAATCTGTGCTGGGAGCATGGAGACTTTAGGATTTTCTCTCTCCCTCTCCCCTTGCCCCTTCCCCCCCAAAATTGTCTTTGTCTTATTGCCCTCCCCAACTTGTCTGAGAGGAAAAATAATGCATATTTAGAAGTAGGAATAGAAAAGAGACATTTTTAGTCACACAAAAAAAGGAGGTGACCATCATAAGAATCTTAAGACTGCTCAATACAGCAAAAAAGATTCAGGTCTTCTTTCCAAAACTATTAATTTAACAGAGTGCTAATTATCAGTACAAACAGCAAAGCCAAAGTTTATTCTCAAGGGTGTTTGACTGCTAATCACATTTCTGTGCTACAACTGATTAAAACCATGTGTTTATACTTGGAGTCACAGCACTCAAATACTCTTTGCTCAGTACTTTGCAAGAAATGTGTAGGAGCTTTGCTGTGTGACTAATGGGCAGTGTAGGTGGGTGATGCCACAGAAGCCACAGAAACAGAAATTTCCATGAGTTAGAGTTAGAGAATTCTAGAAAGGCCAGATAATTTCCCTGTATCTGCCACCTGCCATATGAACTCTCAGACTTGCTAAGAGACACTGAAGAATCTAGGATAGGAAATAGAGAGGGAAGAAGAAGGAGGGGCAGAAGTAGGATTTGCTACCTATCACCAGCACTGTCCTCAAGAGTATCCAATTCCTTAGGACCTGGGAAGAAAGCACCAAAACTGCAACACAGGATATTTGTAACTAATAAAAGTGCTTATACCTAGGAGTCGAGTCACTCCTAATACAGTACTAGTGATAGAGTCCTTCCATGAACTAAGCTGAGTTCACACATCTCTTGGTGTTCTGAGTAGCCCAACTAGACAACCCAAACACGAAGTGTCCTTCTATCCCTTCAAAGAGCCTTCTCTGGGACCCGGAAAAGACCTTTCCATAACAATTTCTCCTCCTGGGCCCACTGTTAGCAATGAGTTAGTATTTAATGGCCTAGAAAGAAGAACTAATATTTAATATTCTTCAATGTGAAACCTTGCCAAAGAAGTCTTGAAAATCTGGGCAGCCTGGGTGGCTCAGTGGTTTAGCGCTGCCTTTAGCCCAGGGCGTGATCCTGGAGACCCGGGATCGAGACCCACGCTGAGCTCTCTGCATGGAGCCTGATTCTCCCTCTGCCTGTGTCTCTGCCTCTCTCTCTCTCTGTGTGTATCTTTCATGAATAAATAGATAAAATCTTTAAAAATTTTTTCAAAAAAAAAGAAGTCTTGAAAATCTAATGGTTAAATTTTCTAGTGTCAATTTTTTATCTATACTTTGTTGTATATTCCTGCCATTTATTTATTAATATTTTTCTCCTCTCAGCTCTCAAAGTGCTAGGTTTCCAAAATTCTTCCATTGAAATTTCACGATTATTTGTTTCCCACAACCTCCTTCTTTCAAATTTGTCAGCTACCCTATTCTCTCTCTCCCCAGCCCAGCCTTACTATGTCACAGTTAGGTGGTAAGAGAAGAATTAAAATACCTGCAATCTAGACTCCCCACCATATGGGTCAGAGGTATTCTAGTGTTTAAAGAAAACTAGATGCCTGTGCAAATGTCTCCAGTTCCATTTCAATAAAGGAGGTATAGAACATAAACATCTCAGACTGTGAGGTCTCCTGCTAAGATCCTTGCAAAAGACTCAGGCAGTTGCACACACAGAGAAAAGAAACTTTCCCCTTCTTATTGCTTTTTCATGTGTATTACCTGGTATATTTTAAATCCAGGAAACATCTTAGACATTTAATGGAAAAGATAGTTAAGTACTATTCAAGTCCCATCAAGAAGGAAATGAAGGGCATGAACATTTTGAAATGAGTCATTAGACTGGTTGCCTCAGAACAATTTTGATCTTCCTATTTAAGACCAGAAGTAAACAATATCCATGACCAGCTAATGAAATAGCTATGTTGCTTAACAATCAAAGAGCTCTCTACATCATAAATCATCATTAAAACTGTAACCTAAACAAGGACACATGTTACAGAGTTGATTTGGAAAAGAGAAAAAAATGAATAATCCTTTCACCTTGGCAAAGGTTGAAGTATAATTTTCTCCCTCCTATTATTGTCCTTCGTCAATCAGTATGTTCAAGATCTATTTTTCTGCTATAATCTTAAGGCAAAGGAAAGACTAAACGTCTCCACTTTATATTCTATAACAATTTCAGCATATTTACAGTCTGTGCTATATTTCACCATCCATTGTCATTTTATTTTTTTGTTCAGGACAATATTATACAAATCTAGAGACTACAAGGATGCCCAGCATGTCACAGCCAGCCTTCCACAAAGGAGAAGCCAGCAGCAAGCAAGAAAATAGTTTCTTCTCAAAAAAGATAATTCCTCAGGACTTTACAGTAACCATTCCTTAAAGAAGGAAATAGATTTTTGTGGTCAAGTTAAACCATTTGTTTTCTATGCTGTTAAGAAGAGAAACATTGATCAAAAGTAAAACCATCCCAGTCTTCACTTTCTGCACATGATGTTTCCCCATCGCTCATTTCAGTCTTTTATAACCTGCTCAGCTGTTAGGCCTACTATTCTCCTGCTTCTGCAGGTGCATTTTCCAAAAGCAATATTTCAGGAATTCTGAAACTATGGTCTGTCTGATTCTTTACACTTAGAATCTGTCTGTGTGTTAAAGCATGGGTTAATTTAGCTTCCTAATGCTTGGAAGTAGTAGATGAACTTTCCATGGAGTAACTAGTTGGGAGTTTTTAAACCTGCCTGCGTACACTTACCTCAAATCCATCCAAAATAGTATCTTCTAGCTGTGGTACTAAGTACAAAATCCCATGGATGGGAAATGCCAAGAATGTTTCAATTAAATAATATGATGGAGCTACTTTTTTTTCAAGTATTCTTACTCCTTATTCTTTAACAATCTTATTCTAAAAGAATTTGAAAAGTAATGAAGTTTGCTCATGTGTAATGTTGACCCTCTGTGTAGTCAGAAGGTATGATTACTTCAGTTTCTGGGAACACATCTACTCTATACCATGTAAAACTGCTTAGCTTAATTTAACTTACATTGATTTATGGTATTTATATAGCATATGAAGAAAGATATGGCATACACAGTCCTGGAATGTGAGGAGAAGTGAGAAAAGCAAGGATTTCCCCCAATATCTGTTTAAAAAAATAAAGAAAAGCAAAATAACCAAAAAAATCCATCCGATGGTGACACTGAATTTTGTTTTATTACATTCAAACACCAAAACTTTATTTTTAAAAAGTCATATACCAAGGGACTCAAACATGTTAATAGCATTATTCACAATAGTCGAAATATAGAAACAATGCAAGTGTCCATCAACAGATGAATGTTTTTTTAATGTGGTACATACATATAATTATTCATTCATTAAAATATGAAATTGCAATATATGCTACAGCATGGGTAAACCTTAAAAATGTTAATGCTAAGTGAAATAAACTGAACATAAAAGGACAAATATTCTATGATTCCATTTATTTAAGGTAACTAGTATAGGCAAATTTATAGAAGTGGAAGATACAATACAGTTTACAAGGGACTAGAGGAAGGAGGGAATGGGGAGTTATTATCCAATGGGTATAGAATCTATGTTTTTAGATGATGATAAAGTTCTGGAAATAGTGATGATGGTTGCACAATATTGTTAGTGTACTCAATGCCACTGAATGGTACACTTAAAAATTGATGAAATTTTTAAAAAATTGTTAGAATTATTTTTTAAATACCTTTAATAAAATCTGATTGGTATTTCCAAGGTGAAAAGTAAAAGTCATATGCCAGTCTAAAGCATCTGAGAAGACATCCATTGCTTGAGAGAAACATTTGTCATATGCTTTTTGGTTTAACATAGAAATGATTCACATTAACCCCTGCATAGTGATGCAACATAAATATTTTCTAGTCACCAGGACACACTATCACATTATTTCCTCATTTTTTAGGCATTTAGGAATAGATTTGCACATTTTTTGAAAACTGTCAATAATACCTTATACCACTATGAATCATTAAGTATGACCTTTGAATCAATCCTATGTTGGCTAACTGTGTAGGCTGTTCTGGCTTTTTTGTGGTTACCATAGAAACTGTGTAGTCATGGCATTATAAGGAGACTACAAGGGCATCGGACAGTATACAATAAAAGTTAACTTATTTCATGGTTTACAATTTCTTCCAGCTGTCTCCATTTGTGATTATCATACTCACATTGGGAGTATAAACATACAACCAAAAGGGCTCCAGTAACTGTAGCCAAAGAACGATCTCACCCATAACAGACTTCCCTCTAAGATTTGGATAGAAACACATGAAAGAAGCAGCATGTAAGCTTCAGGTGTTTTCAATTATTTCCTTCATATGAACAAAGATTTCCTAATGCAAAACATGTTTCAGCTCAAATAGTTTTCCTTTAGAATTGTGTAGTTTCAGAAGAATTTCATCTACATACTCCTAATTCATTGACACTTCATCAATAACATAATATCTCCTCTGAGCTCTTCTACAAGATCATTTCCTCTCTGGGTGGTCAAAAACATGGTACATTTAAGTATTGCTTACTTTTGTGAAGTGCACTTTTACAAAGTGTATAATCTTTTGCCCCTGCAAGAAGGAAAAATAAATGTTCAGTTCTGGGATTTATAGTAGATTCCTTGTCAATTAAGTCACCACAGAGTGTTGTAGCACAATGCCTCAACTATCTTCCTACATTGTCTCTCTAGAATGGTATAGATGGGGGAAGACAGACCTACCTTTGCTGGTATAAATCATTAACTGTCTAAATGCTCGGGCAAGCCTATTCAGGGATTACAAAGAAAGAATGTGGGTTTGGAGCATTTTGTTTTTCTAAGTTTCAATGAGTGAAACATAACATCAATCATTTAGGCTTCAGCAGCCTTACATAGCAGTGAGCTTTATCTTGTAGTTCAAGAAATTTGCCCCTTCATTATTACCTTCTGCAAGTTAGTAGCACCATTTGTTTATAATTTTATAGGAATTATGAGAATTACTTCATAAAGTATTTGAATAATGTACATTGCTGAATAATATTCACTGCTTAGGGAAACAATTTATCTATGGATGAATGAACTAGATGAATTACAACAACAAAAAATCCAAAACCCTATCTACTGCTGCATATCCTCCAAGAGGTGAACTTTTTAAACTCTACCCCAGCACATTCTCCCTATCCACTCCCCTTTCTCTCTCTCTCTCACTCTCACACACATACACACATTTTATGATTTTGATAGGAATTAATGAAAGAAATTGTGAAAAGATAAACACTGTTCTGATGACGAAGTGTTTTGGGTTAATTGCCAATGAGCTTTGAAGAGAAATCCAAATTTTCAGATCAGTATCAGGGCTAGAGTTCGTTTGGGAGGTAAACTCCTGCTACTCCCAAGAGTACTTTATCCCAAGTCCAAGTAGAGGAGGCATTAGAATCTAACCACCTGAACAAGTTTTAAATGTGTAGCAACAATACAACTTTGCACTTAAATAACAGAAATGGTTAACACCATTTATATTTACAAAAATACTGGTTTGAAATATATCTATATAGACATATTCATAACATATTCATATTCTCTGGAATATATTATAAGACAAACTAGATACAAGCAGAAATTTTGTTTTATTTTTCTAGATTTACTTTCCTAATAGTTTACTTAAAGACCATTTCAGTAGATTGAATGCCATGAAACTACCAGCTTGTTGTTTATATTTTACCACAGTATAAGAAAATGTAAAACTTCTGAAATATAGGAACTATTTTTCAAGTTCATTTCTCATATTTTCTGCTCTACTGAAAACAGGAGAACTGTAAGGAGCTTGGGATTGGGTGTAGGAAAATATTCACTCCCAAGATGGCTCGTTCAAATGGCAGACAAATTAGTGCTGGCTGCATGTTCATGTCCACTTTGGCCTCTGCATAAGGCAGCTTGGGCTTCCTCATGCAAGTGGCCCAGGGTCCAAGAGTGAGTATCCTAAGAAACAGGAAGTGGAAGCTACCAATTTCTTAAGATCTGAATGCAGAAAATAACACGGCATCATTCTGCTATATTCTATTAAGAAGTCATAGGCCTATATTTCAGAGAAGGAGACATAGATATCACTTTTCTATAGGAGGCCTAAGAATTTTGTGGCCTTGTTTTAAAACCAGCACTATTTGTAAATCACCAAGAAAATACATACTTCTTTTCAATGTGGTCTTGTCTTTTTAATCTCAACTGGGAATAACTTGGAAAATAAACTATATCCCTTGAACCAGTTGAATCCTGATACTTCAAAGAATCACAACAAAATAGGCAAGAAACTGTGACATCCTCACCTTTACTTAGGATTTATTTATCTTTTCTGAAAAAAGAGAAATCTGTCTGAAATATTGCCCTGAAACAATAATGGGCTGTAGAGATTGTAAATTACCTCCTAATTTCTTGCATCACCTTTCTAGGACCCCTCAACATCTTTCTCTCTGTAAATCACTAAAATCTATGCAGATTAGCTGGAGATATATCTTGAAGGGCTGGTAGTTGTCTGTTTAGTTTGCATCTTGCAAGCTTATTTTTCTGTCATGCATTCTTAATCACCAAGTATGTTTTGAGCATCTTTTATATGCTAAGCACTGGAATTTTAAAAATACATGATCCACGGTTTTATGGGGGTCATATACCAGTGGGAAACATACTTGTAACAAAAAAAAATCAAAGAAATACCACGGTAAAGCTAAACACAACATCCTGTGGGTTCTTAGAGAATGAAGAATTCCAGAAAGGTGCCATGGAGATGATTTTAAGAGAAAAGTGAAGATGCTTCAGGCAAATGGGGAAACAGAAGATTAATCAGCACATGCAGAAAGTAAATGAAAGACTGGGTGGTTTTGAGAAATGACTATTTATATTGGTGTGCATAGAATATGGAATGAAAGGAAGAACAAGGAGATCAGGCTGGGAAGGTAGATTGAGCCAATCCTGAGCTCTGTGTTCTGGGGCCAAGTGTTTGAATATTATAGAAAGGAAATAGTAATTCCAGATTCACCTTTGGAATCTGTCAGTACATTGGAAAGTGAGAGATGAGAGAATTTGTTCCACTATAATATGGTGGCTGTTTTCTAAGAAACCCTAACTTTTCCAAACTCAACTTTTTAAAAAAGTGAGTAAAACTCACTTTAAAACAAAATAAAAACTTGCTTTAAAACAAATAAAAACAAACAAAAAATCTTCAGTGAGGAAAAAAATATGGAGTAGAGCATTTCTAGCTATACACATGCAGTTACAAAACCTAAAAATCATTGACCAAATGCAGTGTTTGATTACGTCTAGCTTTGACTTTGGAGTAAAGGTCTGTCTTTATTGTCAGGATAGACTTTTTAAAATTCTCCTCACCTCCATCGTCTACTGTTAGAACAAAGCATACAAATAAACACTCAAGGCAGCCATGATTTGTGTGATGGTTTCCCCATCCCCCAGAAATTTAATGTTAAGCCAATATCTCTTGGGGGTTTGAGTGTTGATTGTTTAGGGGTTATGTTCTCATCCCACCCACTGGTCACGAATTACTTCCTACTAAATTCTCCATTTGCTGTTCTTGTCTTACCTTACAATTAACTCATGTTACCAAGTTAATAATGGCATGTTGTCCAATCTCCTTTGTTAAAATATGCTACTGGGACATTGCCATATTCAAGGAGCTGTCTCAGGAACTGAGGAAGTTATTCTATTAAGGAGAAAGATTGGAGGTGTGAACCTAAATTGAAAAGTTGGCTTGAATTATTCTCACCCTATGTTATAGAATTTTCAGGTAAAAACATCATGGGGGATGGGGAGATAATTCTAATTTTAAAAATACTTTTGAAAAATGTGCTAGTAACAAAAACAGGCACATAGATCAATGGAACAGAATAGAGAATCCAGAAATGAGCCCTTAATTCTATGGTCCTGCTTCGACAAAGCAGGAGAGAATATCCAATGGATAAGACAGTCTCTTCAACAAATGGTGTTGGGATAATTGGACAGCCATATGCAGAAGATTGAAACTGGGCCATTTTCTTACACCAAACACAAAAATAGACTCAAAATGGGTGAAAGACCTAAATATGAGACAAGAATCCATCAAAATCCTAAAGGAGAACATAGGCAGCAACCTCTGTAACCTCAGCCGCAACAACTTCTTACTAGACACATCTTGAAAGGCAAGGGAAACAAAGGCAAAAATGAACTATTGGGGCTTCATCAAAATAAAAATCTTTTGCACAGTGAAGGAAATAGTCGACAAAACCATAAGACAACAGAATGGGAGAAGATATTTGCAAATGTCTTATTACAGGGCTAGTATCCAAAATCTATAAAGAACTTCTCAAACTCAATACCCAAAGAACAAATAATCCAATCAAAAAAATAAGCAGAAGACATGAACAGACATTTCTCTAAAGACATACAAAACACCGACAGACACATGAAAAAATGCTCCAGCATCAGGGAAATGCAAATCAAAACTAC